CGCAACGTCGCAGCAGCAGCAGCGCCAACAGTAGCGCCGCAGCTATCCCAGACCTAACCAACTGCTGCCGACGTGGCAGATCCAGGAGAATCGCGAACGGTGTCCAAGAGAACCGTGAGAGAGAGAGAGAGAGAGAGAGAGAGTGAGAGACCCAGCCCTTAGGAGCCACTCACTTAAATAGCCTCGCTAACGGCCATCCATTAGCGAGGCCTTACAAAAAACTGGAATTCTGCTGACGGAGATCCGTCGGCAGATATCCATTACATAACATTCTTTCATAATGCATATTTCACAGCAAAAAAATGATGATTCTGCTACGGAGATCCGACCCTTACATAACATTCTTTCACAGCATAAAAAATGATTATCACAAATCATTGTATGAAAGGAAACCACTTTCCTTTCCCATAGCAATTCGTTTTAAATTGCAAGAGCTTTAGCAGATTGTTCATTTTTTCAGGATGACAGTTCATAAATTATTCAGTGCTCTGATGCAGAATGGTTACTCAACTGATAAGTGTTTGGTCAATCAGGTGAGACATCGAATGCATGATCGCAGTATCCCGAAGGATGTGGCACTCTATGATTGTGCGTTGAACTTAGGTTAGCAGTTCAGAGAGTTGCCATCCCTTTTGCTTTTCTTCTTCCTATACTCCGTTTTCTTTTAATTCTTAAATTTTGTTTTCTTTTTTTCCCATTTTCCCACCTACAGTTTCACCATAATCTTCGGTATTTCATTATTTCTTTTAAATGATGACAATAGCATAGTTATAGTAATGACAGTATCACTAAATGAAATGTATACGATTCAGTGGACCGAAACATCTCCTTATTAGTTATTTTTTATTACCTACTTCTATTTTTTGAATTAGTCATCCGTCCCTTGCGTAAAAAATATTTTTCTTCTGCTACTGTTTTGAAAATCATTCTTCATTACCACCTGAAATCGCCCGAATAATTCGGTGTGTGGATCTCATGTTAATGATACAGTGAGATCCAGAGCTGCATACCTGCGGTAAGTACCTGCTGTCTGTTCTCTGTGGACCATCTCTTTGTGTATTTAGTATGACTTTGGATATTGTACCTGTTTTCATCCTCAAAAAACGGCCGAAATCTTTAGGCATCGTTTCGATTTTTGTTGTTTTGAGCTTCGGAATGCGTGAGTTTTCTGGGGACGTGAACTATTGACGCCATTCTTTGTTGGAAGTGCTTAGAGCACTTAAATTCATCGTGAGAGTTGTTTAGGGAATTTTTTTCGGAGGATTTGAAAAGCATAAATGATGCTGTTTTGTTATTTTTCCTAACTTATTTACTCCAGTAACGT